AAGAAATCTTTGTTGTCAAAAAGTTTGTCAAGTTGAATAAATGAAAGAATAAGTTTAAATAAAGTATATATATTTATTTATTGTGTTCATGGCTCTTTATATTAAATAGAAATAGAAAGACTGGTGAGGGTTCTTAATTATGGAGTTCCATCGTGCCACGATTTATGGGCGTGTCCACTTGCCATGAATTTATATTTTATATAATAAAACAAATTCTTGCTTTATAATTTTCTATTTTTCATTTTAACTTCTTACCAACGACTTTTTTACTTACCTTTTTCAATTAATTTGTATTATTTAAGATTTTGCAATAAGTTCTTATAATTCTTAACAAAAATTAGTTTATGGTATACTTATAATTTATAAATTGTTGTTAATATATAATAAAGGTTAAAGTATATTTTTTGTTCTCTAACTTTATACGAAGTTTTAATTTAGTCTCTTAATTTTATAAAGTACTCCTCCAGTTCTATTTATAAGGTAAAAGAAAAAAAATTTAATCTTATTTATAGGGCATTTACTAATTTTCAATACTTCTCTTTACATTTTTGTCCTTATTAAATACTTTAAATAAAAATACTAGTAATGAGATTTAAAAATATTTATTAGGGATAAAGGTAAAAACTTATTAAATTTTTAAGATAAAGTTAGTGGGGTTTAAGATTTTTATTTATTTTGATAAAATATGTCAGAAGTGATTTATAAATAAGACCAGAGACAATAATTTTCAGTCATATGACCTTAATAGTGTTAGTTTCAAATAATTTAATTTTTGTACCATTCATTATTATTTTTTTAAAAAAATTAAATTTTAATATACCAACATTTGATAATATTTTATTAATATTTAAAAATTTAATGTAAAACTTTTTTTTTAATGAAGCTAATGGTGTTAAGGTTAAAAAAACTGAAAATATTTTATAAAATTATGGAACTAAAATAAAATTGTATAAAATTAAAAAATTAAATGTATATTTTAATTGATAATAAAAGTATTTCTTACACCATCAATCTCATATTATATTGGGCATTTTAACTTCATATAACTTGTCTTTTCCAAAAAGAAAACTTCATATAATTTGTCACTGCTAGTACATTACTCCATTTTGCGGAGTAATTATTAATTAAAGTATATTATTTATAAGTTATAAATATATAATTTATTATAAAATTTTGGAAAAATAATTGTTGGTTTCTATACTTTTAGTATATTTTGGTATTAGTTCTTATATTTTTTTATTACTACTTCAAATCTCTTAAATTTTATCTATTTACAATGTTAGCCTTTATTTGAGAAAGTTAAATTTATATATGTGTACATAACTTTGTTGATCTTATTATTGAGTTGGTAAAATTATGATGAGTTGGACATTTCATAAACCAAATTGCTACTTGTTTGTCAGTCACCTTAGTTATTATGTCTTCTAATTTATGAAGCTTCATCCATTGTGCATTTAAGAATTTTGAGTTAATGTTCTTCTTTGTTTGTTTGCCTTCTAGTTATTTTTTATACAACTTATTATAATTTTAACAAGTCAACACAAAAAGTAATGGAGTTTATGTACAAATTTGTTACCATTAGGTCCTTATGATCATTTTTAAATTAAAAATATATGGGTTAATATTACTTACAGATGAAACTTAAGAGACTTGGAGTCATGAAAACAAAGTTTAGGAACTAATATTAAAACATGCTATATGGATCAATAGTTATAGGCTAAAGTGCTTTTTTTTTTTTTTCTAACTTTATACAAGATTTTATTTTGGTCCATTATTTTTATAAAATATATTTTCAATCATATATCTAGAGTCAAAAAAATGGGTTGAGCTCACGTGCTAGCCCATTTAACTCACAAAAATTAATGGATTTGGTTAAATAAATTAGCTCATTTTTTAAAAGGGGCTGAGCTAGCCCAACCTGCAAAACTAGAGGGCTAAAATGGGCTGACTGCGGGCTAGCAAAATTTTTAAAAAATAATTTTTTATTTTTTAATCATATTATATCTTTTTATAAATCTACAATAATGATAATATTTTTTAAATATATAATCTATGACTCCCAAATATGTTCTTTATTAATTTTTATAGAAATTTTTTAAATATATATTATTTGTTAATATCATAAGATCTATTAATTGAAATCATAAATAAGAATTCATTAGGAAAAATAATATTAGTTTATATTCAAATTTTCTTTCTCTGCAATGAGAAAGATAACACACCTAGGCGAGAAAATAAATAATAGTAAAAATCTAACAAATAAATTTATTTGATTAAATTTTATATTTATTTACAAGTCCTTTAATTGCTAATTTCCTTAAAATATGAAATAAATATATATTTATATTATATAAATTTTAAATTGTAAAAAAAATTTGGTAAAATTTTGCAGGCTAGCCTACAGGCTCGTCAGCCCATTAGAAAATGGGTTGGATTGAGTTTTTCAGCCTTTTTTATTTAACAAGTTAACTCAACCCAACCTGTAAAAATGCCAACCTGCGTGGACTAGCCTACGAGTTAGCCCATAATTCATTTGCCCAGTACTAGCTATATTCCTAACACTGTTAGTTTTATTAATAAAAAAAATTTCTACACTAAACTTTTAAATATTTAAAAAACATTCACAAATGCTTACTTATAAGTTTATGACAATGATTGACCCAACAGATAATTATTTAGAATTAAGGATGTTTGGGTTAAAAGGATTGAAAAAGATATTTTATAAAATTAAAAAATTAAATTAAAATTTTTATATAAAATTAAAGGATTAAAGGTGCTTTAATCATAGTTATATTTTTTTTATAAATTTTATTAAATTAATCGTAACAGTGGATAATGAGTATTGAGTAATGACAATGATAATGATTATATCAATTATATATATATATATATATATATAAAATAATAGACTAGACCTCTAACTTGTCCCTCCATGATTTGGCATCTTCAAATCTCAACAAATTCAAGATTTTGCCAGCTTCATTGGCTCTGAAGGTGTTTATAATTTACTCAAATTTAAATGCATTTAACACTAATTTTTAAATCCCACTTTTCCTCTTTTTATAATGATGGAAATTTTGGGATAATATTGATTTAGATATCATTATTTTTTTGCAAAGCATATTATACTATAAAAAATAAAATATTAATATTTTAAAAAATATTTTATAAAATATAATGGAGAGAGTTTTTTTTTTTGTCGTTATATGTATTATATTTTATATTGGTAGAAAGAAACCCCACAAACACAAACCATAAATTAATTATTGACATGTCGTGACTTGGATGATAGGGCAATCAAAATCATGATGGCTACGTTTTGCGTACTTCCTTTCTCACAAATATCATGTGAACTCCCCAATTCATAAACAAAAATTAGACATTTTTTTTTAATCAGAAACTCAAAAATTAAGATTTTATGAATGTATAATTTTTAATTGGAATACATTTCTTACTAATTCAATAGAATATATGATTAATTATGAATATATATTTAACACTCCCTCTATTAAAAAATATAAGGCATTTTTAATCTTTTAAGGTATAATCATTGTCTTTTTTTTAAAAGTACATCTATTGATAATTACTTTATATTTATTATAGAGTATTTAATAAAGGTAAATATGAAAAGATATAGTTAATTAGAAAGTAGGTAACTACTTTATTGAGGGTAAAATTTAATTAAAAATGCCTTATATTTTTTAACAGAGAGAGTATCTAATATCAAAATTTTTTATTTTATTTAAATTTTATTCTAAACATATATTAATTATATTTACACTTCCAATCATATTCATAAGATAAAGAGATAGAGTTTTTTATCCTATTTATAACTCATGTTCTTAACTTTTTATTACAAGTTTCTCCTTTTATCACATTAAATATTAATGAGAAAAAATATTATAAAAGTATGCATATTTAAGGTTTAAAAAAAATACATATATAATAAGGATAAAGTTAAAAATTTATTAAATTTTGGATAGAATCAATAAATTTTAAAATTTTATTTGTTTTGGTAAAATATGTAGAAATTAATTTATAAATTTAATTTTTTTTTCAGTTACATATTATTAAATTTTAATTTAATGACAAAATGAAAGATAACAGTCCATCCAGCAAGTTGAGATTCATGGTCCCACGAGACTTGTGACATTGGACTGCTTACGGTCAACATAATGCTGCTATACACAGTATCTATAATTTTTCTTTTTCACTAATTTTATAAATATAAAACATATGTTTATTTATTATTCAAGTAAATTTCACATATTCGAGTAAAGATTATATCCTCAGTTATGTCTAACAATACTTAAATTTGACTTAATCAAATAATTATATAAAAATAATGAATCCAACCTAAATTCTTCTAAAACTCCTTGATATTATGAGTTTTTTAAACTATATAAAATAGATATGAATTCTCTGACCAGGAACAAAATAACAATCCTTTCTTCAAGAAATAGAAGTTTTGGAAAGCTTAAGACAAGATTAAAAAGAAAATTAACAACATTTTAAAATTCAAACTGGACAATGAACCAAAAAGATCAATGAGTCACAAGTCTTATGGTTCAACTAGTGATATAATAATTAAATAAAAAATAATATTTACATACATATATATTAAAAACAAGTCAAAACGGTTCAACCACTCTGAGTTTCGAGTTTTTGCTTTAAATCTTCAAAAACCGCCTAAGTCAAAGCAAGCCAACAGCCAAAACGAGCCAAATAGTTGAACCATACCATTTTCTTCTCCAAGTAATGGTTCGACCAGTCCGACTATTTGGGTCAGTCTGGGTTTTAAAATAGTGAAAATTACCTCTTATGTGAGTCTACCATAAACCTGAATTTTCTTCTATGCTAAATGTAAAACATAAAATACAAAGCCCACCTTTTTTTTGGAAGAAAAACAAAGTTTATATTAACAATAAAATGTTAAAAATACAATATTAGCATTAGCTATCCAAAGAGAAAAACTAAAAAGGAAGTGCATAGAGTCATCCTCGTTAAGAATACATCAAATTGAGTAAACCAGCGAAACATTGATGAAATATCCACAATGAGAAGTGATTCAACCCTATCTACTTAAGACAAAATAAGCATGAAGGCCTTGAAGGAGAATTGAAATTATTTTGACAGTTAAGTATCCATCAGAGTAGCTCTGAAACATGCAAGATGGAACTTGAGTATCGTTTAAATTCTTCCTCCATTTGATGATGTGTATGTGTTTGTTGTGTTTGTGGTGCGCAGGCGTGTCAAGAGAGCTTGTCCTCAAACAATGTCATGCACCTAACTTCTAAATCAAAAGGTGAGTTCTCAGGATACTTTGTTACAATTTTCCTGAATATAAGTGTTTAAAAATACAGGGGAAAAAAAGATGAAGCAAAATGAAAGAAATGCATAACAGGAGCAGACATAATACTATTACTATTCTACGGTAAATTACAGAAATTGTAATACGAAAAAACAGAAGAAAAAAGCTGGAGTAGTGATGCTGCTGTTCTACCCGGTGTTGCTGCAAGGGACTTGTTGCTCTCTCATGATCGCGTGCTGATACAAAGGAACTACATAGAAATTTACAAAAGGAAGTGTCTGTACTTTTTCTGATAATGTGCTGCAAGGGATTTGATATGTTGTGCCTTGCTTTTATTTCATAGGCAACGTAGATAGTTTTTCCGTGACTCTATATTCCACTTTTCCAAGACTATTTGCTGCAGTTTTTCCTGAACTTTTCTACTTGCCCCCCATTTTCGAAGTGGCGCATTGCTTACTCTTTTTTGCAAGTAACTTCCCCCATTCTAGAAGCTTTTTCGACCTCTTTGGGCTTGGGCCGAAAAAGACAAAATATGGGATAAACAGTATGATATTAGAGTTTTCTTGAATAACGAACCACGATGCAAAGTCTTACTGTATTTGAGTTTCTTCATCTAAACTATCCAACGTCCATCCAAAGCAATGCGAGGTTTTGTGTGTTGAAAGTGAAGTAGGACCTGAAACAGTTGAAGGAATGGAAAATTTCCATTGACAGACAGAATCCAAAAGGTAAGAATGCCCTGGAATTCATTGATGAATTTGAGAGGGTGTTGAAGATCATCTTGACAAACAACCAGATATCTTTTCTGCTAAACCATGTTCAGCAAAGTGAAAGCCCTTTTTTATCTGATCTAAGCCACCAATCTCATACATAACCCATTCAAGGTGGTTAAGATCCAACTGATGAGCCCAGACTGTCTAAAAGCTAGGGACATATTGAAAGACGAGAAAATCATAATGCTTTAGAAAAATTGCACTGAGTGAAAATATGATCAATGGTCTCTCCATCAAGACAAGCCAAAAGGATAGTTATTTGAGACATTCTGATGATGTTTCTGAAGTATCTCTTCTAGTGGCAAAGCTTGATGAATAGGTTTCTAGATAAAAAGTAGATATTTCATTGCTGACTTGAGCTTCCACAACAAACTCGAAATGGGTTGATTAAAAAAGGGTTAACAAAGCTTTCTAAGCTTTGGTTGAGTAAGATCTAGAAACCATCTTTGACCTTATATTCACCACTGTGTGCGACATTCCAGATGAGTCTGTCCTCTTAAGGAGTAAAAGGTAGGGGAACGCTGAAAATGAGCATCAACTCTGCTGTAGAGTTGGTTAAACAAAGGTGCATTTCAAGCATTGGCCAACCAACATGACGGTTGAAGAAGGATCAAATCAAGCAACAGAATGAGTTAGAACCATTTAGGCTGGTTTAGAGAAATGTAAATCAAGTTCAAGTTACCCTAAACCCTAAACAAATCAGCAACAGAATGATTATGTGTAGATTGATTAGGGAACTGAATGAGTTGGAACCATTCAGGATGGTTTAGAGAAATGTTTTCCTCATTACCAGTCCAGTTCTCCATTTGAGCTTTGGAGATGATCAAGTCAGCACAGAAATAAATACCCTTCTAGAACGAAGAAGAATTGTAAGGCTTTTTAATGATAGATGAAGCATTCAGATCCATGTATTTGACTTTTATACTATGTTTAGATACACATGGACTTAGATTTGAATATAGATTTAAATCAAATCTATTGTTTGAATAATTAAAAATGTGTGGATTTGGATTTGCCCCAAACCCAAATCCAAATTCTCCCTTAATCTTTTTGTAATTTAAAATCCTTTCTAAACCCCTATTATTTCAAATCCTAACTCAATCTCTTTTATAATTTGACCTAAATCCATGAAGGCTTAATCAACATGCCAAGGGTAATTGGACCAAAACGTCAAAGTTGATGAAAACAAGCTACCATTGTTCATCGGGACCGGACCGATGGTGACTACAGGGACTGAAGACTAACTTTTACCCAGATTGACTTCCACAAGGACAAGACAGACGATGGCAACGGCGATGACCGAATGGCCGACTTCCACCAGGACTGGACTGATGGCAATGATGGGGACCAAATGGCCTACTTCTATCAGGATTGAACCTACAATGACAACGAGGACCGAATGGCCGACTTCCACCAGGATCGGACCGACGATGATGACGAGGATTGGAGGACCGATTTCCACCAGGATTGAACCAATGGCGACCATCGAAAGACTGGCTTCCACCAAGACCAGACTGATGGTGACAACGAGGACCAAACAACTAACTTCCATCGAGTCTCACCTCTATGAAATTTGGCCGTCCTATCTTGGTGGATGTTGGCTGTCCTATCCCGATCGTCGCCACAAGTCAGGTCCCCCTCACAGCTGTCGGTTTGGTCCTAGCGAAAGTCAGTCGTCCAGTCACCGTCGTCGCCGTCAGTCCGATTCTTGTGGAAGGTGGCTATCTGGTCCCCATTGGTTTGGTCCTAATGGAAGTTAGCCATTCGGTCCCTGTCATCATGACAATCCAATCCCAGTGGAAGTCCGACATCCCATCCCGATTGTTACTAATGCCACAGTCCTAGTTGGCTTTAATTGTTTGATCCTGTTAGAAGTTGGCGTCGGGTTTGACTAATCTTTCAAATTGTTTTTAAATTCAAATATAGAATTTAAAATTTAAAATTTTACTTTCGATCCAAACAAAAGATTTTAATATTGTAATTTAAAATTTTTTATATCATCCAAACAAAGAATTAGAATCTTTGGATTTCAATTGTAAGATTTCAAATATGAGATTTTAAATTTAAATTCCTAACTTAAATCCACCCATCCAAATATAACCTTAAGGTCTTAGAAAGGAAGGATTGAGGATCAGCATTTAGAATTCTCCATACTTGTTTTGTTTGTGCAGACTTATTGACAAATGGTTCTTGGTCTAACACCCAATTCACCTTTATCAATGAGAGTGAGGAGTTTTTTTTTTTTTTTAAGATGGATTTTCTTTTTATCCTTTACTCTTCCCTAGAAAAAATCAGTGCAAGCTAAGTCAATAGCCTTACATATTGAATTTGGTAACTTGGCACATGAAAGAACATATATGTTGGAGGCAGAAAGCACATGATGATCCCTGTTTTTTTAACAAAAAGGCCAAAATAGTTGTTGAGGACCATGAGGTATGTTGTTTTTTGTTTTCTAATTTTTACATTGCACATATTCCAAGCCTAACGGGATATGCTTTAATGTAACACTTTATTCTTGAAACGTCTCACCACTTCACTCAGAAAGCCTCTCTTTCAAACAAGAAAAAACACTTCACTAATACTCCCTCTGATGTAGAAAAGAGTTGAGTGTCCCAATTCATGAGACAATTTACAAAATCTAAGCAGTAATTAATATGTTTTTTTTTTCCATCAATGGCCTTTGAAAAATGATGCTTTTAATTAATTAAGAGAGAATAATATTTAATTAAGAGCATTTGCATAAAGATGAATAATTTCAAAGACGTGAATTAGTTTTCTTAGTTTGCGTAAAATAGGTAAAATTAACTTAGAAGTAGGAATGGAGGGAGGAGGGAGTAATTCATAAATATGATAAAATTTAGTTAAATAACTTATTTATAAAAATATATATAGTACTTCCTCCGTCCCAAATTATAAGACATTTCGGGAGAAGATTCGGTCCCAAATATAAAACATTTTGATAAAAATAAGGTTTTATAAATAATTCTTTTCTAATATTACCCTTCCCACTACATTTTCTCTGTTTAATATTTTTTTATAAATGGAGTAATAAATGAAGAGCATTTTTTAAAAATTTATTCTTTTTTTTGAAAATATGAAATTGTAAAGTGTATTTAATGAGATTTATTAGCATATATGATTTTGTTTAAAAGTGTCTTATAATTTAAGATGGAGGGAGTATTAGTTTTCCTAAAACAACCCTTCTTTTAATCATTTACAATGAAAATTATCCCTATTGATTATTGCACACGTTAATGAGTACAATCAATTGGAATAGTTTGAAAATAACTAGCAAATATAAAAGACAAAGGAACTGAGATCTTATATTTAAGATCAAAACACATTTATTAACTAGTACTTATATTTAGTATCAGAAAGTGTATTATGCTAGGTGCCTACTAATTTCAGGGCCAAAAACAGAATGAGGATCCTAGAAATGTATAATCATAAAGTTATAAGTAAATATGAATAAACAAGTAGGCTAGACCCCACACCTATAAAACTCACACATGGTGAACCAGCTCTTCTCTTCCTATTTCTCTATAACTTAATTCTTTAGAAGACATCATCAGGTTGCGCCAAAAAAAAATTCTTACTCAACTTTAACTTGGTGTGCCATTTCGTTGCAACTTACTAAAACATGCAAGCACACAAGATCTAAAGAATTGACACGCCACAAGGCAGAGCCTGAGGTGTGCGCCTACAACCTTTACTTGCATTAAATTATTACAGAGAGTATTGATATTCAATTCAAGTCTCAAGCACTAAATTTGGCACATACAACTAGGCATCCTCCTTCCACTTCCTCTGTGTGTGTGTGAAACCCACTGTTCTCTTTCTCTAGATTTGGATATAGTGAGTGGCTTAAATCCATTAGCTCACTGAATATATCAATTACAATTATTTAAAGTATTAAAAACTAGATTAGTCATTGAACCGATCAAGAAATTGATTCAAAAGTTAATGATAAAAAACATGATCAAACCGTTCATAAACAAAATTTTTTATTAAATCAGTTAATATACTGATTTAACGGTTCAACCAAGAACACTTACACATGCTGTAAAGCTATTAGATTTCGTTAACACTTGAAATTTTTATCAAGTATACCTTTTTCAAAAATTCAAAACACTCTCGACAATCAAGAACACTCACATATGCTGTACCATCCAAAACTAATTTGAGATTTGACACTCATTGATGAGCTGATTTGTGCCAATCACTAGATCCAAATCCCCTTTCTCATGTTCTCATTTCTCTCTCACTATTTACTGCTTCCCTTGTGTACTCGCCACATTAATCTCTTATGCACAGATTCATACACATCGTAAACAACATTTGTGGGTGTGTATATAACCAGAGTGATAGGCAGGACGTGATGAACATGCAGTAGAGAAATGAAAGCAAACAGTGTTGTGATTGTAACACTAGTGTTACTCCTTTTGCTTACCCAGTCTCTAGCAGAAAGTAGAGAAAAAGGCAAAGAAGATGAAGAATTGAGAGTGCTTAGAAGAAAGATCAAGCATGGCAGAAACAGCAAAACAAGAAGCAGAGGAGGTAAAAGAACAAGAGGGAACAAGTGTGACTCCTTTTACCTGTTTCTGTTCTCCAAATGTGGTCAATGGCCTTTTCCTACACATCCTTCAGCGGACAATCCATTTGATCAGACTCCGATATATCATTCCCCTCCGCTACTGGCTTCTCCGCCGCCGGTAACTCCTTATTACTCACCAAGAATCTCACCTCCTCCTCCACCACCACCACCGGTGCTCCAATATTCTCCGCCACCATTGGTAATTCCTCCAACGCCCTCATTGCCGCCACCGTCGTCGTTGTCTCCACCACCTCGATGTGCACCTCCACCTCAACCCTGTCCTTCACCCCCACCGACTTGTCCCTGTCCACCTCCGTCACCACCACCGCCTCCGCCGTGTCCGTCTCCATCACCACCACCTCCTTCATGTCCGCCACCGTGTCTTCCATCTGGTTCTGCCCCACCGGCGAGCCCACTTCCGCCGTTAGTTCCATCACCACCACCACCGTCCCTGGCCCCTCCACCGGCCGTTCTGCCACCGTTGATAATTCCACCTCCGCTTGTCCTTAGTCCTCCGACGACAGATGTGCCACAAACACCAACTTTGCCATGGATAGCACCTCCTGATGCGGGCACTTATACTCCACCACCTGCATTAAATTTTCCCCCAGATGGATCTACACCAGCACCGCCACTTGTCCCGATGTTCTCGACGCCGCCGGGAACTCCGCAGCTACCGCAACAACCACCGGATGATCCTCTCTTATTTCCACCCCCTCTTACACCAAACCCAACTCCGCCGGACACCGGCGTGATCCCGACTCCGGAGTTTTCTAACCCGCAAACACCACCGGTACTGCCTGATAATCCGGTTACTTCCACACCGCCGGTCCTTCCCTTCCCGCAGACGCCGGATATTTTCTTGCCGGCCCCAGCCAGTCCAAAACTCCCAGATAATCCCCAGGAACCACCGTCATTTACGTTCACCCCACCAGCCTTTCCTCTCCCAGAGACGCCAGAAATCATCTTGCCACCTCCGATGGTTCCGCAACTTCCAGAAGAACCACCGACTTTTCCGTTCACGCCGCCGGATTTAACTACGCCCCAGACACCAGATGTTTTCCTTCCGTCACCGGTAAATCCAGTGCTTCCCGGAGAGCCGCAAGATCCATTTCCATTTCCATCCTCTCCACCCTCGCCGGAGATTATCCTTCCAGAACCATCCCAAGAAGCACCCTCACCACCACTAGCATTCTTTCCCCCGCCATCTGATGCTTCTCCTTAACTGATTCTGCGTTTTAGTTTTTTTTCTTTTTTTCCATTGTGTTTTTTTCCCAAATAACAATGTTCTTGTTTAAAATTTAAATAACTAAAAACTTTGCGGAGTGCCTAAACTCAATCATTTAATGAGTGTTGGTTATTAGAGATTGTTGCATGATGCTTAAAAAATGTTAAACCTTCAGCGAAGTCTTTTGCTCATTTCTCTGATCAAAAAATACCATTCGATAATATCTATTTAGCATATCTCCTACTAACTCGTGTGAGCATTTAAATATCTGTTCTACATTCATTCATGAAGGTAATGGATTGAAGACCATACCAACATCTTACAAGTAAGGCACATTTTGTCGAGACAAAATTTTAAAACCGGTACCTTTATTTCTATAATTTTTAATAACTCTATCACCTACTCTAATTTTATGTTTATGTGAAATATATATACGAATTGTTTGAATGACATGACATACTGTTGCACCCGAATTGTGATCTCCCCGAAAAGGAAGGATCGATTAACGTAGGAGTCGCCATCAAAATTTAAAAGGATAATTTTAGAAATTTTTTTTAAAAATAAAATGATCTATAATAACCAGAATAGGGTTCAGGAGTCGGTTGTGCATGGGGAAGGTATTAGGCACCTCACAACACCCATTCATAAGAACGGTTACCCTAAATTAATTGTGTAAATTAATTGACATTTTAATAATATCTTAGTTGTTCTTTATTGTACGTGAAAAATAAAGGTAAGAAATAAAAGAGAATAAATTATTTATTTACATGGAAGGACTTGACCTAGGATTAAAACCTAAGGCCTACGTACCCTGTGATGGGGATCAAAGTTCACATAGTTCGAATGTTATTATTTAGGTTTTTTAATTTTTTTTATTAATTTATTTAATGAAGAGAAGGTTATTTTGTGTTACATAATTATATTTATTTTTAAATAAAAAAATTTGACATAAGGAAGTACCTTTGGATAAAAGAAAAATAACCAGTATCAAAACTTGCGGTAATTTAATATCACTTACAATTTGTTGGTTGACACTCTAAATGCGCACGGTAATTTAATATCACTCATGGCGAACCCTAAAGGAAATTTCAAGGTGAATTTGCTATAAAATAATTTAACTTTAAAATTTTAAATATAAAATTAAATACTTGTGATGACTTAGTGTCATTCATGGTATCTCATTTAATATTTTTAGGAATCCACGATGATTTAATATCACTCTTGGGGTAACCTAAAATATGCTAAAAATTTTATTATTTTATTATTTTAATAATGCATAAGAGAGGAAAATTTAACAAATATTGAAACTTACGATGATTTAGTATCACTCGCAGTCCACTAGTTGATGCTTCTATATGTACACGGTAATTTAGTATTACTCATGACAAATCTTAAAGAAATTTTCAAAGTGAATTTTTTATAGAATAATTTAATTTTAAAATTCTAAATATAAAATTTGATACTTGCGATGACTTAGTGTCATTCACAGTTTTTTTTTTTTGATATTTTTTAGGAATTTAAGGTGATTTAGTATTTCTTACAATACATCGAATACCCACAGTGATTTAGTATCAGTCATGGATCTTTCTTTGTTTTAAAGGTTTAGAAAAATGCATTATCATTGAGACTCATTTCTCTTCTTTTCTTTTTAAGAAAATAAAAATAAATGATTATCTAGTCTAAAATAAGGATTGATATAAATAAATTAATGACAAACTCATTCTATCACATAATAAATTATCATCAAATAATCACCTTGACAGCCCACACACCACATGTCTAAGCAGAATCGAACAGTCATACTAAGATCAATCACAATGATATCAATTACTACGAGTACAAGAACGCGCAGGTAAAAGAAAAGCAAGCCAAAAGGAAATTATGAGTGATATCAATTGATGGAATGAGAAACGCATTATGCACTGGAAGAATTGACCAAATTAGAGCATGACATCACCGAGAGCATTGGCTTACCTAAGCAAACGTTTTGATCAATTCTTAAATGCTTGCACTGGAAGGATAATGAATTTTGAGTGTCAATTTCTTCCCTTTCTTTCGTCCCCCTCTCCAATCTCTTCTCTATCTTTTTATAGGTGTTAATTAAGGTTTTTTTATTTAATAAGAAGATCAAACAAAAAAGGTAATTTTTATTTTGAATCTTTTTTTTTATTATTTGAGATTTCAGATTAATTAAAAACAAATATCAGTCAAGGCACAATTTTCTCAAATTAAATTTCAAATATTCTAAATTTCCATTTTTAAAAAAGTTAACTTTAATGGGATCATAATTAAGGGGATTTGGGGTAAAAAAAAATATTATTATTATTATCACAAAAGCCCTTCCTTTTTTTATTACTTTATTTGATTTATCATGTTTTCATTAAGTTTTAATTTACACTTGAAAGCCCGGGCAAAATACAATGTTTACACATACATAAAAGTATTCTAACTTATCATGATAAAAATGGCTTTGAATTTTTTAAAAAATATATGTTAAAATTTTTAAGTGTGGATAAAATTAAATGGAAGTAATTGAAATGTTTTATGGATTAATTTTACCTTAATATTTTAATTAACATTTACTTTATCAGTTGATTAAAAGTTGAGCAGTAACATAAGTTCAATTGATATATTAATATATCAATATTTTTTGGCCGAAATTTATCAATATTTAATCAATTAATAATATATAATACAAAATCTATTGTAGTTTGAATTTTTGAATTCCATTTTACTTGATAATGTTTGGCATCATAAAAAGGAATTGGAGATGCAATAAAATAAAAAGACGCAAATGACCCTTCAAATGAAAACTTGAAAAACATATTAAAGCCCAAAAAAAAAATCAACCAATAATGTCACCCCCAACTTTTGAAGCATAATTACAATTTACATCACAAAAGAGCACATGGCAAGTACAATTGTTTGCATAACAAGTAAATTATCATTAGCATTATATAGATCGATCAATCAACAAACCGCAATCAATTTGAGAGAGAATTCAGTTTTCATGCAAGAAGAAAGCAGGTGCAGCATGAGAAATTAAGGTGAGAAGCTCTAAAAATTTAAAAAGTTCTTGGACATTATCTCCAAAAACAAAAACAAAGAAATAAAGTTAAAGAAGAATATTAGTGATAATGAGGAATGTGTTATAAAGGAAAACACGTAGTTGAGCAAGTAAAGTAATTCTCTCTCCAAGTTGAAGTAATTTCTAAGAAAGCCAATGTTTCTTCTTCAAGAACCTCCTCCAAATATATATTAATAAAACTAAGTAATAAAAAAAAAGAGAGTTTAACATGCAACCAAATTCAAGGAAAAGAATTCCGTTGAGAAAAGAAAAGAAAACTAACACTATTACAGGACTAAAAGAAAAGGATAGAAAGCAATTCATAGAGATTTTCATTGACAACATTTTGAAACTTGAAATGTTTCTTTTGATTACATATCATTTCTAGCAAATCTCGAGAAAAAGCATTGTTGGAGTAGCATTGTTTTATTCATAAAGCCAATGACAATAGACATGAATAGAAATGAGGTCGTACAAATCTGGTTTCCTTCTTGCGTGTGTTGACATTTGCAAAATTTCAAAATGATACTTTAACTCTACAACTCCAAATTGACCACCTTGCACCAGAAGGAAGGAGAAAATGCAAAGAGTACCTGCAAACGAAGAAGAGAAAGAGCCAACAGTCAAAGTAGAAGTTTTGAGATGGTGTTGACTTCTTGATAGAGTGGACCAAGAACAAAAAGTTTCAACCAAGACTATTCATTTGTGCTCAGAGAACTTAGACTTGAGTATATTCTGATAGATATTTTCTTAAAACATTTAAAATGTTCACATTCTTATATTTTTATTATTTTTAATTTGTAAAATATCTTAAAATAATATTTAAAATGTATTTTAATCTTTATTTTTAAACTTTAAGTCTCACAAATTTTTTAAAAATTTGAATTTTTTACATTTTTAAAATATCTCAAAAAATATGTTTTGTATTTTTTTTATACAATAAAAATTGAAATTTGTTTAAAACTAAATTTTTTTTTAAAAAATTGACAAATCAAGTATTTGAATCCATCCTAAATAGGCCCAAAGGTTTAAGGCCAACTTGACTACTTAAGTTTTCTCATATGATCGGACTTTTTTGAGTTGAGTTGAATAAGACTGCCCTACTAGATAGAGTGAATAATTCGAGCAAGCTGGGCTTATTTCAATTGAGCTTTAAAGTATTTCAAATTTTTTTAAAAAATCTATATAACCAAGCCTGATCCTAATTTTTTTAGGCAAGGTTCAGGCTGACTCATCGAGTTTAGCTAAAATTACCTACTCTATATACACATAGAGATGGAAATTTTAGGAGTTAGGTTTATTCGGATTAGGCTTAAAATATACTATCCTTTTAAAAAAATTCATATAATCAAGCTTGATCATAATTTTTTTTTTGAGCGAGTTCAAACTGATCTATTGAGTTTGGTTTGAATTATTGGCTCTGAATCAACAGTAATGATCCTTATTGGTTTGGATCTTGGTCCGGGTGTCAAAATGGTGGAGTCATATGGCTTTTAAGACCCAAAACATTTTGTTTTGTTTTGTTTTGTTTTGTTTGTTGGGCCAAAAGCCATAAGCAATTCCATCAAGTTTTCTCTTTCATTGTAGGGGGCAAAAAAAAAAAAAAAAACAAAAACAGTTTTCTCTTTCATTCAAAATTCAAATATCCTCTCCTCATTCTTCGGGCGTCTCTGGCCTTGTAAATCCAACAGAGAACACGCCTCTACCTGCGTTCACTTTCCCTCCTTCCTGGCTCTTCAATTTTCAGAATTGAACTTCTCCACTGAGACTGATTCTCTTGCTTCTCGAAGATGTCATTTGAATGGGCAGATTTACCTCGTGAATGCTGGGAATTGATCCTCCGATCACTCAAGCACCGCCGTGACTACGACTCTGTATCTTTGGTCTGCAAAGAATTCTACTCTATCACTCGGCGTCTTCACTCCTCTCTCACAATCTACGACTCAACGTTTCCGTTCCTTCCCCGTTTTTTTGTCCGATTTCCCGCTCTCAAATTCATCGATCTCAGTAACTTCACTGGCGACCTCAATCCCGTGCTTGCTCAGATTTCAAAATCTCGATTGGCCCTCGATTCCCTCAATATCTCGAATCAGAATTCTCTTCCCATCGATGGACTGCAAAAATTGGGTTCGAAGATGAGAAATTATCTGAGGGTTTTGATCTGTTCCGGTATTTGCGACCTTCAGGACAGCGATCTAGTCCTCATAGCTGATTCATTCCCGCTTCTAGAAGAGCTCCACATTGGCTTCCCTGAATTCGATCCCAAATTTACCGTGTCTGATTCTGGATTCACGGCGTTGACTATGAGGCTGAAAAGCCTACGCACGGTCAAAATTGGTAATTGCTTCATCACAGATGTCTCTCTTCATTCTCTGTTCGCGAATTGTGAGTTTTTGAGAGAAGTGGCGCTTGAAGATTGCAGTTTCGTGTCTCAAGTGGGCATTGCGGAAGCAATCCTGAAGAGACCGTATCTGATTTCCATCTCTCTCAGTAATGTCAAGGATCTACAACTACCTATTATTTCAAATTTTATTGATTCACTGAGGAGTTTGAAAAGTTTAACCGTTTTCGAATTTTTATATGTCTCTATATCGGATGAATTGCTCTGTTCAATGGCAGATGCGGGTCTTCCATTGAGTAAGCTTATCCTCAGGAAATGTTCCGACTATACATATAGTGGAATATCTTGCTTGTTGGCAAAATGTCAATCTGTTCAATACTTGGACCTTCAGAATGCTAATCTCATAGATCAAGATATGAGGGAGTTATCTTTGTTTCTCCGTAATGTAACCTTCATAAACCTAAGTTTTTGTTCGAAACTGACCAATTCAACATTTCTAACTCTCACAAGAAACTGTCCTGTGGTTAGTGAGATCAGAATGGAGAGGACAGATCTTGGGACAGAGGGCTTAAAAGAAGATTACTTGAATGATTTTGTTGTCCACTCTCAAGTGAAGAGACTCTTTTGGGTAGTAACTTCAAATTGAAGGACGAAGATGTCAAAAGATTTGTTTCCATGTGTCCCAATTTAGAGCTTCTTGACATAAACACTTGTGGGAATATTACAAAAGGGGTATTTGAAGCTTTAAGGGACTGCCGTAAGATTACACACCTAAGCTTAGCTGACTGTGCAGCAGTGAGCGGATTTGAGATAGGGTTTGAATTACCCAAACTGGAGGTGATGAACTTATCGCAATCAAGGATTGATGATGAAGCCCTTTCAATAGTTTCAAAGACTTGCTGTGGGCTAACACATTTGGAGTTGCAGAATTGCTTTAATGTGACATCAAACGGAGTGAGGAACGTGGTAGAAAAATCAAGCAGACTGAGAGAGATAAATTTGAAGCACTGTAATAAAGTATGTGCTGATATTATTCCATGGATGGTATCTTCAAGCTCTTCTTTGAGAAAAATAATGGCTCCCCCCAGTTTTTGTGCTAGTGAGAGCCTGACGAAACTCTTGTTGCGTCATGGATGCCGTGTTTGTTAGAGCTAGACTGCTGGTAATTTAGAGTCTCCGGAGGGCTTCTCTGATATGTAAAATAAGTTTTCTTCATTTCTCTATGACAATTTGCTCAGAAAATTAATAATTTACATTTAGCATGTTTATGCTTTTGGAAGACCACTCTACATTTTCAATTGTAATGAAGTTGTGATTACCAGTGGAAAACAGTGTTTTTCTGTTTCTTGTGTTAATTAAGTTGGAAAAGAACAAACAAAGGGATAGTCATGCATCACTCTAATGACAAACCAGGACACATGGCACCTCAAGGTTTTTTCACAATCGTTATAAATACAGAATGTCTCCCTCAAGCGCTGCATCTCAAAGAAATCTTGTTCCTTCTCTAATTTTGAAACTCACTTCTTTTTTGTTTGATACTGATATGCTTCTCTGATTGCCTCCTTATCTCTGCCCAGATAGTCATCATCGCCCCTTATCTTCTCATAATTGTGACTGATAGATTTGCCTTGTTAATCCATTCTTCTTCTTCTTGTTTTTTTTTTTTTTTAATTTCTATTGAAACTAGAATTGGAAGGAATGTCTCAACTAATTTCTAAAAAAAATTTTTTTTTGCAGTATGGTGATTAGCAGGGGCCAGAGGGAATGAATATACTCATCCCTAAATGTTTTTACTGCGAATGAGCCGCGTAAATGATTTTGTGAGTAAATTATAACCAATCAATCTGTGTTTTTAGTTTTGTGAGAATGTTCAATGAATTTATGGAGAGATGCTAATTCTAAATGGAGCTTTAGAGGCAAAGAAGGTCCAAGGAAAATACGGATATCATGTGGAGAAACTGATAATTTACCAAAATATCAAACTAAACAGTATTTCTCAGTTTTTGCAACTTGTTCTCCAGCTTCACTGGATATATTGACAAGATATAATTCTTTCTTTTGGGCCAATAATAAAATATCATTTTCAAGAGTTCTTCACCAAATGTTCTAATAAAAATGAATTAAAAGAATCACAATGTGAGAGCTTTTAACCTTTCAAAAAAAAAAAAAAAAGTTTTCGTTGGCATCATGTTCATGTCTTGAGACCCAGATAGCTTATTTTCTTGTATTGGATTTCTCTAGTGTTGCACTGAGAAACCAATATTTCTCTGGCCACTTGTTACAAAGACAGTTCCACATTCTGAGTCACCAGCTCTTTGTGAAACAAATTTTTTACCAGTCTGTGGACAGCTAACTGTCCTGTTTGACACCTTCTAATGGCAGTATTGAAGACTTTTCATTTCAGTCGTAATCAATGAAAGTTCAAAATATTCTAACATGCATTTCCTCCCCAACAACAGCAAATATCTCGTCCACCCTACGAAAAGAAGGAAAGAGGAAGATAGCGATGCATTTAGTGTTCAAAAGCATGTAGATGAACATATTTATATACACTCATGCTATGCCTACCTGTTAGTGTCTATGTTCACTTCTGCAAGCCACGCTGTTAAATAAACCTGCAATGTAGAATTCAAATGATCTCATGACAGAAATATAATTATGTACTAGTTTTAAATCTTGCAACGCCTCATGTTTTCATTATTTTTCTCATTGAAAAATGTAATAAAAATGAAAAGTGAAAGGGTTGTCTTATTCAAAACTCAAATATGAAACCCCTTCTCTCCCACTTCGCACTTCAGAACATGTGGTTCTTAGAGAGATAGAGAGAGAAAGGTGCTTTTATGTTCTCTTGAGCCGATATAGCTGAGGAGAGGAAAGGTTTCTATTTTTAGGGTCCTCCAAAGAACAGATCAAGTGGAGATAAAGTGGGACTTGAAGCTCAGAGGATTTAAAGCACAAGGCTACAAACAAGCAACCGAAACCATGAGCTTGTCTAATTGATTCAAACTAGATTGGGGCCGTGTATTGAATGAACGGGGCCTCATGACAGAAATAAGACTATATATTAGTTTTAAACTTCAATGTAGATGCTTGCAACACCTCTCATTTTTATTACTTTTTCATATTGACAGATAATAAGGATGAATAATACAAAGTCTGTTTTATTCAAAACACAACATGAAAATCCCCTCCCACTTCACACTTCAGAACACACACTTCCTAGAGAGAAAGGCGCTTTCACATTTTCTTGAGCCAATATAGCTGGGGAGAGGAAGGGTTCCCTTTTTTAGAGTCGTCCAGGGAATAAATCCAACGGCAACATGGTGGGACTTGAAGCTCGGAGGATCCAAGCACATGGCTACAGAATCAGCATATGAATCCCTGAACTTGTCTAATTGATTCAAACTTGATTGGAGCCAATTTATTGCAAGAAGCCTCATGTAGCAAACCACACTATTCAAGATTCAAGTCTTACGAATAGTATACTTGTCATAGATTTATATAATATATAACAGTACCTGTAAAACCTCAGGCATAGGCTGGTTGTCAAATTTGAGAGCTTCCATATCAGATTTCCCATCCCTCAGTCTTGGAGGAACTGGTCTACAGGTTTCCTCACAGTAAAGACTGCAGTTCTGCAAGTGATCGAATTCGCCAACATAAAGCTCATTTGAACAATCTAGCTGGTTGCCTTGCGAGATGTCACAACCAAGGGACAAGAACTCAAGAATAAGCAATCGCTGCCCATTTAAAATAGGTTCCACAGCAGCATCAAAGCAAAGGGACAATCAGAATTCATACATGAAATTTAAAAATAAAAAAAAAATCACAAGACAAGTGGCTGTAATTCACCTTCAAACACAGCTCCCATTTAAACATTTGAACCAGCTCCTCAGCCAACTTTTCTGAGAGATTTCAAGAGTTGTAACTTTTATCATTAGTAAATCCCATAAATGAGATGTGTTAGATAATACATTGAACTATTTTTAACTCCACATCTTGTTAGATGGAAATAAGGACACCATGACATTGATTTATAAGCCCATCAAACTTATTTTAACAATTAAACTCTTATTTTCCCATATTTACCATGCATCTTTTATGGGCACCGGAGCTTATAATCACAATGTCAACAGTTTTCATGCAGTCATTTATGAATTCTATGTATTTCCCTTTGTCATTCACGAAAGTCTCAAGATTCTATAACTCTGGGTTGGCCAAAACTTGACCTCAGAATTGATAGCCTAACTATGCATAATTGCATAGAACATGAAGAATTCGTAAGTTGATTAAAACAAGCATATAATTTGGGAAACTCTCTCCTCCTCTCTTTAAGGGGGGTGATGCAGAATAAGAGGGTAATAAAGTCATACCATGAGAAGCAATTGATAAAAATGAAAATACAGGGATGCCACCACCATCTCCAGAATCACTCTTGTCTTCAGAAAAACTAGCAAACTGTAGTAGTGGACTATTATTTGATCCTTTAAAGAAACATCTCATTGATCTGGTAGTATTGAAAATGTCACTAACTACACCCACCTGAAATTAGATGAAAAATAAAACATGCACAATAAATCAATTCAGTAACATCTAGCGCATTTTTGCCATAATCATGTCAATATCATACAAATTGTACCATGTCCTTATATGTAGACAATAGTTGGCCCCTTAAAAGTTCCTGAAATAGACATAAATAGTGAAGCAGTAAATAATAAGAGTATGACAAAATTTAAAATTTATAAATCACATTAGTAATATATGATGCTGGAAGAATTCACCAAAAACAAAATAATGATAAATTCTTGAAAGATGTAGGCATTAATTTTGACATTATATGTTAAAAAACATATCCCAAAACTCAGATAATTTTGAATGGTGTTGGTGCCCTAGTTACAATTACCTCCAATATAAGTTAATATAAGTTCAAATTGCTCCAGCGAGATTTATCCAAGTAGAAATACAAATTCCAGTAACATGAATAAGAACTACCTGCTGCTTTGATAGTTTGAAACAAGCTCTGTTTCTTATATCAGGCATATCGCTCAAAACACCTAAGTCCATGTTAGGCATGTACCTGCATAAACAAGAGCATAACTACAAGCACCTTATAAGAATCATATATTAAAATAAAACAACCAGTGAAAAATGTATTAAAAAAACGTTATTTGTAAATAAAAAAAAACGTTATTTGTAAATGCCAATAAAAAGTTGGACACACATGGAGGCAAAAACCTATTATCAGCTCACTCTAACAAGATAAAAATTAGCAGGATCGAGGAATTTGATTGTGATCACGGCAGGAGCACTTTTTCTCCTTTCTAAAGGATAAAACTAGTGAAAAACTTGCAGTGAACAAAGGAATTGGCTTCTCTCCACTTCCCATCTCGACCCTTGGATCAATTTTTGAATAGTTAGAATTTAATATTTCATAAAATGAATAAAACCCTGGATTTGGGAGAGAATTTGAATTTTTCCTAGTTTCTAATGTGAAATTGAGTTGCCGAAAAAAGAAAAAATGACCTTGCATATTGATTACCTTTGGGAGAGATGAGAGTTGACAAGAGCAGTTGCGCGAGATCTTCCGATAGAAGAAACAGAGGACCATTGGTTCCTATGAGACGCTAACTTGGACCACTGGTTCCTGAGATTTCGCTGCGCAGCAGGCCTCCATAGTCTGCCCACCGTCGGTGGCAATGGAGATAAAGTCGAGTTCGAGCTCTGGAGTTTGGAATCGCTGGTTCGAGAAGAAGAAGATGTTGTTGAATCTATGGTTTCCATCATTGAGAATTTCCCAGCTTTGCTCTATACCATTCATAAACGGCTAGTTTGGTTGACAGAAACTTCAGCGAGGAAGAGGGGAAAGGGAGGCGGGGTTTTCCGGCGGCCGAGTTTCTGGGTTGGCGAGGGAGGACTGAACTGTGGATTTCTTATTTCCGGCGAACGAAGGAGACGCGTTTCATGCCGTAGGTGAGGGTCGAGCTGAGCCGCCGAGAGAGGGAGGGGAGGGTCGGAGGGCGAGAGCGGATGCACATCAAACTGCCTCAACTATCGTCGATACTCGCTAATATATACTTTCATGATATGTCTTCGTAAAATATTATAATATTATTTTTTTAATATAAAAATTTTTTAATTTTCAATATATATATATATATATATATATATAACATTTTTAAATTATGAATCGATGCTTAAAGCCAATACAAAAAAAATTAAAAAAAATAAAATTTTATTAAAAAATATGGTATTAAACTTATTATTATTATTCTTTTACTTGCTTTTAAAGTAGAATATTAGATTTTATTTAAAAAATAAGTTTTAGATGTAATAAATGAAAAAAATTACATTTTTC